GGTTCGAACAGACAAAAACGATCGTGCAAGAGTTCTAGTATGCCTCTCAATTTCTTGCATCCTCATCCTCTGCTAGTTGGCACGAATCCATCTCGAGCACGATGTGACAAATGCCAGCACCCGCGAGAAGAGGGTCACCGATGCACCTGACTTTGTTCCCCTGGAGTAAGCACCATCGATATTGATTTTCAGCCAATCTTGTGGAGGCGGCTTCCACCATTTGCCGGTGGACCACAACAGGAGAAGCCCCCCTTGCTTGGCGTTCTTTTCTGCAGATCCTCTGCCGTTGTGATTACCGCTCGAGTAACTTCATGCCATGACGGCTGCTTCTCCCTAGCATTAACCTTATTTCGCTCATCCAGTGGTGAAGAACCCAGAAATGCGACATGGGGGAGGCTGAATAGTAAAGGGCTAAAACCCTTGCTAGCTCTATTGCGCTATACTAAATTATGTAATAGATATAGCCAGAAAGGCAACCAGCACCATTCATTTGGAATGCTCAAATATCATCAAGTACAAGTTTGTGGTAGAATAAAAGCATACCAAATAAAGCTCTAATAATTGTTAACCAAAAGCCCGAAAATGACCAGAAATTCCTTGATTTCGTTCATACACAGCTACAAAGATAAACAAAGAAAAAAGTGTCAGCGTGCTTACAACTTATAAAAAACACGATAATATTTAGAATAAAAAATTGACTAACATAATACACACCACTTATTTCTTTAACGCTGCGAGGCAATTGTATCATACGGTCCCCTGTGGCTTAAAAATGCTTTAAAATTTTTCATCTTCAATAGAAGCAAATATATCCCGTTCAATATACCATATCATGCTATGATTCAACCAATCATCATGCATTTTGCTTCTCCAATCAGTCTTAACAACATTCATAGCAGAGAAGGCTCTTTCAACGGTTGTTGTTGCCATTGGCAAGATCAATGCAAGTTTAATGAGATGATACACCAAGTCATAATGTGTATGTCTATCAAATTTGAACAAGATCAGCACAACTTGATAACTCCTCATCACCTCTAACATCAACAATGAAATTGGGAAGCTATGTCGTAATCATAGGCAGTCATAATCAGAGAAGTCATCAACATAAATTTCAGCACGTTCAATTAACTTGTCCACTTCAAAGTTGGCAAAATAATCCCTTGGATCAAGACAAGCTATACATCAAAACAGCTGTGTCAACTTTTCAAGAAAGCAGTTGTTTAACTCAGCAAGAATCTATTCAATCACAACACTGAAAATCTATGATGAAAAAATGGTATAGTAACACACCAATTTAGCACCATGACACCATGGACGACCTCTAACTGCTATTTGATCTTCCATATTTGGCACTACTAGATTCATCTTTTCACAAAAGCTCTTTACCTCTTCAAAAAAGAGGATCCTGGCCATTTTTCTCATGTCATTCATATTCTTATTAACATAGCTCCAATTAATCCAACTACTCTGACAATTTTCTGATTTTTCCTTTGCAAACATTGCAACAGCTCTTGAGTCCTTCCCAATATTTTGATCATAAGATGCAATACAAATACAAATTCAAATGACTCCATTCTCTCTATGAAGCCAGATGCTTGTGTTTTCTTGTCTCCATCATTTGCATCTTTACTAACATTCTCTAGCACCTCCAATACAGAGGGCCACATCATTTGAAGACGATCCAATGCTTTGAGATCTATGGCACACTTCATTGCATTGTTGTGACAACCTTCTATATATTGCACCAACGTGTTCTCTAAAAACATCTTTTTGCGTTTTTCAAACTCTTAAATATGTCTTGGTAAATACATCATTAACGTAATTGTAGGTTCTTGGTGGCTTAAAGAGATAGCAATAAAATAAAAATGTTGCATCCTTGCATACATTGTACTCTAGCCAATTAAATTGCCCAAACCATGATTCAACAAAACCCGTTGATTGAGATTTACCCTGTATTCGTGGAAACTTGTGACCTTTTGGTTGACATAGACCCATGTTTAAAAATGCTTTTCAAGCATCATCTCTAATACCATGATGGAACTCACCAATAGGCTTTCTAAGTCCTGGATCAACCACTATGTCACTCATATTAAGCTCAATGTGTGCTCTTTTTGTTCAACACGACTCTCTCTAGTTTTGGCAGTAATCTTGGAAGCATCTTTATTAATAAGAAACTTGTCCATCCTAGTATGCAATAATGCAAATTGAATTACTATCAGAGACTAAATCTAAATACGGATCACAAATTCACATTTCAGACTTCAAACTTCAAAGAGTTTAGAGTTGCAAACCTAGTAGCAAGGGTGAGAGGGTCGTGCAGCTGCCAGCAGGAGCCATAGGGGCGTAGGGCTGCAGTCGGCTAGACTGTGAGTATAGTACGTCGCCGGCTCTTTGAGATGCTGAGCGATGAGTGCGGGGGGGACCACCGCCCGCCTGCCAGGCAGTGAGCCGCCATGACGCCACCGAAGGTCTGAGGCTGGACGACACTGGCACGCGAAGCAGCCATCAGAACCGTAGAGGAGAGCGCAAGCCGCGATGAGCCACCCGCCGGGATGCCAAGCGCAGGTGTAAAAAGGGTGAGACCACAAGTTGTGAGATGCTGAGCGCGAGGATAGGAACATGGCTGCTTGGTGGGCTAGGTCAAAAGCTAAAGCTGGGCCGTCTAAACTTCCAAATTTTGCAATGTTGTTGGGCTAAGATTAAAGAGGGGTAGTAGGTGCTACATGGGTGGACCCGGGATACAGCCAGGGTAGCTCGGGCCCTAGGTCCGCACCTGCGCTCATCCCACCACTTTCAAAGTAACAACACTATTTCAGTGTACAACTCCGGCTTAAGGGATGCAAAAGAATCAATCATAAGTGCCCAGATAGAGTGATACTCTCTCCATCTCAAAGTAGTCAAACTATCTAAAATCTGAAAGAGCATCGATATTTATGACACCAAATTAGTATATTATTAGATACACCCTTAAATAATATACTTTCATAATGTACCGATTTGGTGCCATAAAGTTGAAACTCCACTCTACAAAGTTAGTCAAATTTAAGATAATTTGATATAATTAGCTTAAGACAACTCTAGAAATTGATTTGGGAATGAGAGAATATTCCACGTCTGATTTATCCCAGCTCACAGAAGCTCCTGCATGGCTGTTTCTTTTCTCTAATCCTAGGAAATAGGAATATTCCATCCTTTGTCACCCCTGACAATAGCTAGCTCCATTTTTTTTTGCGAAGGGAATGATGACTTATATTAAATCTTGGCATAATACATCCCTAAATTACTCATAAACAAATCTAAAATAAAAAAAATACATGATGTTCTATCCAGATTCTTCCATCGTCTTTTTCCCCAATGGCTTTCCTCAAACGTCGAAGCCAAGGTGTAGTCCTTATGCCAAATCCAACGACTAACCCTAAAACATTGGACATGCCGCAAGATCCAACGCTTTGGAACCAGTCCAAAACGCATCTAAATCGCTGAAAGAATATCGACAGTTGCATCGTCGGGTACGACATAGGCTGTAGAATCATCAACCGGAGACCTTGAATTTCTCTCCGCGACCATCGACGATACGATCGATAACCCAGAGTCGTTGTCCTCGTAGGGGCTCCCAAAAGCACCCATTCCCTTGCATATAAAGGCCACAAATTGGCCACCTGTCGATGAAATCGTCGCCTGCAACGATGATCTCGTCGTGGCAATCACCGAAGTCATTGCAGGAAACACGATGCCGACCGAAAATCATCTGATTTCGCCGGAAGATTTATTGGACCAACCCTAATCAACTAGATAGAAAAACTATGGAAAAAAGGATGGGTTTCCTCTCATTCTTGTCTCCGGCAGACACACCAGAGAGGGAAGAAGGAGAGGGGCCTGGATGTGGCGGCGGCGGAGCGAGAGGAGCGGCGGCGGCTCTGTACGAGGCGTGCGTCTAGTGCCCGGGTCTCGTTGATTCAGTATAGTTGTTACGAGCGTCGCCTTTTTGGCCAACAAGCCAAGGTACATAGCTAGCTCCATATTAATGGGACAACATACTCAAAGATGTTCACATTGGTTCAAACCAACCCAAACCAGCCAAAACCAATGTGTGTTTTCTAAAAACCAAAGACCACCGGCCCAAACCAAAGACCAAAGACCAAAGACCAACCAAGCGAACATGCCCATTTTTTGATCAACTGCCTGAGACGAATGCATGCACGAGCATGATTACCTGTAAAGGAGAGACCGACTGGTCCAACACCTTACCAATCATGCATCCTGGGGAGCCACCGAATCATCAGAAATAGTGTGCATGATTGATTATGTAATTAACAACAAAAGGAGCAGTTTTGCATGCTGAATTATGCATAACACAGCACTTCTTAAAGGACATTTAGAAAGCTGTTGCTGCAATGCAGGCCGGCCTGTTCCCATGCTGCAATGCAGGCATGCCTAAACCAGACCACGCTCCTGCTGGGGTCCTGGTCCTTGCAGAGTCGTGTGCACATCAGACATGCTTTGTACTTTTGTTTGTTGTAGCATAGTACACAAGTATAATACTGGTGGACCATCATTTATACATTAAGCTTTGTACGTAGCATAGTACACAAAGACTGGCTGGTCGAGTGGTGGACCATCATTTATACATTAATTAACCTGAGACAGAGAATAACTTGAGCCATATGTACATTCTTTCCTATACACTTCCCCATTTTCAAATGTATACGGCCAATACTCTAATTGATTAAAAAATTACAAGTGGCAGTGAGCTAAGGTGGTTGGGGTGTGTGTGTATACATATATATGTTTTTTTTTTAATTCTTGTGGGGGTGACTAATAGTACATACACCAAATGATAAAGAGGCCCATTTAGACTACTGGGCTCATACTTACTTATATGTTATGTCACTTGTAGTATCAAATATATTCAAGCCCAACGTAGTGAGTAATAATAGTAGCCCACTACGACCAGGATAGGAGAAGAAAGGACCAGGAAACTGCTACCAAGATGTTTGGGCCTACTCTGGTTTGCGAAAGCGTTGCAGGCCGAGCTTTCGGCCCGTGAGCCTGACGTCCTCACTGATCTGGTTCCGGTACTCCCCGAAGGTGAAGTTCTCATAGCGAGGAGGTCCGCCGGCGCCGCAGCGTGGCCGGATGAGCGTGTCGTAGCTGGGGCAGAGGAAGAAGGCGACGGAGAACCGCTCCCGCGCGGCGCTGGCCATGACCCGGTGCTCGACGCTCCGGTAGCGGTCGTTGCTCCACGCCTGCAGGAGGTCGCCCACGTTGACGATGAGCGCGCCGGGGTTTGGCTTGACGGCGACCCACCGGCCGGCCTTGACGAGCTGGAGGCCGCCGACGCCGTCCTGGTGCAGGATGGTGAGGAAGTCGCTGTCCGTGTGCGGGCACAGCCCGTAGGCGCCGCTGGGTGCCGCGCACGGCGGCTACCTGTTCAGCCGTAGGAAGCAGGTGCTCCGCGTGCACCGCGACACCACCGCCGTGTCCTCGCCGATGCTGTCGCCCAGGTCTGCGACGAGGATCCCTGCCAGCCGCTGCGTCAGCTTCGACATCGCCGTGGACACATGCTCGACCACTAGGCAGCGAGCGTAGGTCAGCTGGTTAGGTTTATTGTGGTAGAAACTGTCCACCTAGGTTTAATGCAAGTCCTCAACTTGATATCCTAGATTTATTTTTGGATTTAACAACATGCCTATGCAAAAATAATTTAGACATATGATCAATATTGGTATTCTATAGGATTTAATAGTGTGTCCATGCATCAAATGATTATGCATGAACACGTGGCATAAATGCACGACACGTGCCTACGATTCCCTTATGACTTATGAGGATAGTCTTCACTAATTTTCTTCGACTATGATAAATTTGTCAATTTCAAGAGCTGTCGGCTAAAAAATTTACTAGCCGGTAGCATCAGTTTGGAAGTTGGCTGGTAGGTAGCCAGGCCACACGTATATATTGTTGAGGGGGCATGCGCTCTCCTCCGACCCTCCTCCTCAGGTGGTTGTGAATTCCACACGCCTCGCTCTTCAGGCCTCTTGAATTTCTCTCGCTCAGCATCAGAATCATACATATCTCTTCCTCTCTCAACATCTATCGGTCTCTTTAGCTAGCTATAAGCTCTCTCTTTTTTTTCTTCTTTCTTTCTTTCTTTCTTTCTTTCTTTCTCTCTCTCTCTCTCACAAAGTCACAAATGCAACATCGATCCATCGATCTATCCCTCTCTGGGGTTGATGAGGAGTACATGTCGTTGGACCGTCCAGCTACTAGCCACAGGCCTGAAGGCCACAGGGACAAGGGACAGGGACCGGCCGGACCCCCATTGATTAGTTGGTCACCGTAGGAGACGTCCCATGGCCATCCCATCCCAATCCATCACTCACTCACTCACTCACTCTGAAATCTGAATGAATTACTCCTGTAGTAGGATATGTGTAGGTACGGAGTATATCGCATGGTTTGCTGGCGGACGGATTCCTCACATGTGAATGTGAACCAGGACAGTTGCAGTTGAGTTGGTCACCACTCCTCTGCCTCTACTACAGTGCATCAGCAGCTCGACGCTAGCTCTCTCTCACCTCTCGCCTCGCACAGCACTGCGGCACTGCATATATGCTCCTACTGCTGCCACGTATTGCGCATTTGCACTGCACGCGGATGGATCATCAGAGGATTCTGAATAAGTGGCTAGGCGTAGCTCGCTGTACCATGCATGCTCATCGATTTGATGCATTCTCGACTCCCATTGGCCTCCTCCAGATTTTCCTGCCACCGCCGCCCAGCCTATCCGAAATCCCATCGCATCTCATCCATCGCTCCCCATCCGGATTCGGATGGAGAATGCACGGCGACGACAGGCAAAAGCATCGGATCGATCGATCCGAGATAATCTGTGTGCGCCAGTGTGTGTGAATCACAGCATTGACACAAGAAGCCGATCCATAATAACACAGCAAGCAGGTTACGTCCTACGGATTAACAGTTATTACTCCATCCGTCCCTAAAAAAACGCCCGTATGAGATTCGTGCCGGCCGATCTTTCTTAGGTTTGATTAGGTTTATAGAAATATTGACAATATAGTATGATTTATCTAATGATATTAATTATGCATGCACCATATAAGTATCAATATTTTCTACATATATTTGGTCAAAGTGAAAAATGCTTGATTTCTCGAGAAGCGAGAATGATACTTTTTTAGGGACAGAGTGAGTACTAGAGTGTGTGCGATGTTTATCTCTATTCAAATACAATTGGATTATGTGCTACTAGGCAAAGGTCGGGAGATCTTTCCAAGACCATGTATCCTCTCGGTATACTGTTCTTGAAAAATTTAGTAAAGTCCTTTATATAAAGAAAGGCCAACGTCGCATGTGTTCATATCTAATCTTACCACTTCCATTCTAAAAGTAGTGTCGATGTTCTTTTTTTTTTACCACCGGCCGGCGAGCAATCATATGAACAACACAGCTACTACAGGCTTCTAGGGTGGCCCATGTGGCCCATGTTACACAGGGAGTTGTAGTTGGTAAGTTCAGTACCACCTTGGAAGTTTATAAGGGCGAAGGTCAATTTATAATCCATGTCACTTCAAACATAACACCTTTGGGTTAACCCTTTTACACGAAGTGAGTACGAAAGTGTAAAAGATGTGCTATGCGTATGGAGGCTCGTTCAATGTGCGGAGCTAAGCCATATAAGCAGTTTTTAGATTGGATTGGATGTGGGGTGACATCTAAGCAGGTGGATGCCAGGTTCTTGAACCCGATCGAGAATATGGGGAAGGAACCCTTTAGCTTTCCGATCTCCATCAGTGGCTTTGCTTAGCTCTCCGATCCGGCCGGCAGGACGATCGAATTCAACGTCGCCAATCGGTTCATCGTCAGCTCGATCAATCACACGTCAAATCAAAAAAGGAATTGAAATTGAAATCCATAGGATTTATCTACTAGCGCTACAAGCTAGTATTCCATTGGTCCCTTTTTAGCTGTCGTTACGGAAAATACGTCGACTTTAACTAGGTATGTAACAAATATTAATAATATTATATATTTACATAACAAGATTATATCACTACTACCACTTCGAGCCTTGGGTCTCGGTTCCAAGCCCCAATCTTTTGGTTGTCCCTCTCTCTCTCTAGTTCTACAAATCGTACTAGTTTTTGAAAATAAAATATTATAAATTTGTTGAACTGAAATCACACAGAGTGTTCGGCTGCAGGAAAGCAGCTACTGCGGCTGCGGCTTTTCCTCACTCTGTGAATCACTGTAGCAACGACAGCAACTGGCTGCAGCTTTAGTGTAGTCGAACACTCTGACAATCTACGCCCTATATGGATTTTTGTGACATGGACGTTTAAAGATCGAAATAGAATTTGCTAAGCACTTGTTTAGATCACCTCTAAATTTTAAGTTTTTTCACTCTCTCTCCATCACATCAATTTTTGGACGTATGCATGGAGCATTAATATAGGTAAAAAAAATAACTAATTGCACAGTTTGGTTGTAAATCACGAGACGAATCTTTTGAGCCTAGTTAGTCCATGATCGGACAAAGTTTGTCAAATACAAACGAAACGTGCTACAGTGTCCAGATTGCAAAAATTTGCAATCTAAACAAGGCCTAAGCCTTGAGCAGAACTGATTTTAAGTGAGATGATGAAAAGTCAAATTCATTTCGAATTTTCGATTCATGGAGTGCAATAAGAGGCATCTCAAGCTAAAAATATTTAATTTTAGATATTGATATATAATATGCTAACACTATTAAAGCATCTAATAATATTCAAATGGTCCTATATAGTTTTGTAGGGCTGGTTTGATACCCTATCCTGCAGCCACACTTGGCAAAATGGCACCGTAGCAGTTTTCGTTGTTATTTGGCAATTAGTGTCCAATCATAGTCTAATTAGGCTTAAAAGATTCGTCTCGTGGATTTCGTCTAAACTGTATAATTAGTTTTATTTTTTATTTATATTTAATGCTTCATGCATGCGTCCAAAGATTCGATGTGACGAAAAATCTTAAAAAATTTTGTAAAATTTTTTGCAACTAAACTGGACCTTTGTTTGTTGCCTCCATCTCCTGCTCTTTCTAGTCTACTCCATTGTCTGACGAGCAGCACATGACCTCCTGTTCCACCTCCTGACACTTCTGGACAGCACTGAGCTCAGGCACCGTGTTTGCATGCTCGCTATCTAATCTCACCCACATCTTCAATCTCCCTCGCTTTCTTCTTCTATGGTTAATTCAAAAACTAAAGGACCGAGTAGGTAACCAAAGGGGGTGATTATGTGTGATTGTCAACATAATTGTGTTTCGGCTAGTCATTGCTAAGAATTTTTATAATAAAAACCGAAAATAATGGGAAACCAAACAAAGAAAAAAAATGAAAAGAAACATTCCAATGTGGACATTCCTGGGCCTTGCTGATTCGTAGTGGGCCATACCACGGCAAAAGGCCTGAGCCTAGTAAATACGCAACTGGGCTGAACCACATTCCATTCATATTTTTTTTGAGAGCCCAGCTCGGTCCATGGCAAATCGCATCAGTTGCAGATTATTTCTTTTGTTAAAAAAAATCAAAATCCTTTGCTTTGCGTGCGGCATCGATTTGGTCGGAACCCAAATCGAGGGTTTGGCAAGCGAGATCGCCGCCGGTGACAGGGACGAGATGGACGCCGGCGGGGGCGGCGTCTTGGCCGCCGTGCTCTGCATGCTGCTAGTCTTCGCCATCTTCCCCCTCCTCCTCTGGCGCCGTCGCTCTGATGCCGCCGCCAATAACCACCGCCTCCCGCCCCAGCCCCTCCAGGAGGATCAGGTGCTGCACGGTCGCGCGGCGGCGCGACGGATGCGTCGGAGGCCTGGGGCTGCCGGAGCAGGCTCGTCTGCCGCGTCAACCAGCCGCACTGGTACCACAACAGCCAAAGCTCAAAGGCTCTGTTTTTTCCCCTTCCCCTTTTTTCTGTTCGCCCTAACCCTAGCCTCGGTCCTCGGCTGTGCAGTTGTAGAGGACGACGCGGAGAGTGATGAGGAGGAGGTCCCCGAAGGTCGCAACGTCCCCAGATCCTCCAAAAAGGAGAAGAAAAGGCAAGAGCGAGAGGCACAGCGTCAGGTTGGTTACTCACTGCAACGCCAAGTCCTGCCATATGTTTCATCCAGTGCTTACACTTGCAAGCTTGCTGGTAAATTGTGTTCCGATGATTGCTGCCATTCTCTGCTGCAATTTCAGCTGCACGAGCAGATTTAGTTCGTCTACTTTATGTATTTCAGTGTGTTGCAATACACATTCAGTTTGTTTGTTTGTTTATTTGTGGTTTGCACATTCAGTTTTCTCGTGTTTTACACATTCAGTTTTCTCATGTTTTACACATTCAGTACCTGGCAGAAATGCCAACTTACTGTGATTGGTGCTGATGTCACAACGGTACTTGGAAACCAGTTATAGTTATGCCTTTCATATAATTCCTTGGTGGTTCTGATTTCTCTTCTGAAGGAAAAAAGAAACAGAAAGTGACATGAAAGACACTCTTTTCTTGCAAGGCTGAAGAAGCTGCACGGGATTCAAGGAGGAGTAAACAAGACCGATACGACGAGATGAGGAGGAAGAAGGATGAGGAGCGTGAGGCACAAGAGAGGCAATTGGTTAGGGATTCTATTTGCTGATAGTTCTGTTCTTTGATGTCGTCAAGTTTTCAGTTATAATTCTAACTAGCTAATTAATTGATCTAGGAAGAAGAAGCTAGGGCACGGAAAGCAAAGGAAGAGGAGGCTGCTGCTTTAGAGTTTGAGAAATGGAAAGGGGCCTTTTCTGTTGATGCTGAAGGTACAACAGAGAGTGAGACACAAGACGATGGTCAGGGTTTGCTCCACAACTTTGTGGAATACATCAAGGTTGTGAAGCAAGTGTCTTTACTTGTGCCCTCATGACTATGCTTATTCTTAAATTTGGCAACCAGAAAAATTAAATCTCACCATGATGAACCATGATGTTCACACAAATAGTTGGTGCTCTGTTTAGCCTCTAGTCTACACACAGATACCATTTCATCTCCTCTACATACATTGAAATCTGTCAAATATCTTATGAGAAGTTGTCACAATGCATCTTTTTCTCAAGTATTTTGAAGGATGCAGTATGGTTCTGTCATGTTCTTGAGTATACATTTTGCCAATATCTATGTGGTATGATATGCTTTGATACCACTGAGTAACTGACAAACTTCACTGTTACCTTTTCCTTCTGTAAACCTCAGAAGCAGAAGTGTGTTCCCCTAGAGGACCTGGCTGCAGAGTTCAGGATGCGAACCCAGGTACTTAAAGACTATGCATAAGAGGTTAAAATGCTGTTATGAATAACAGAATTAACTTCCCAAGCTCTATTATTTTTAAATAGAAATAATGGTAATGCCCATTAGATAGGTGTTGATAGCTTACAACTGATACCCTGTTTACCATTGCTATTGCACTGTTGAAGTGGTAATTTCTGAAGCCCTATTATGTTTAAACAGAAATAGTGGTAATATCCATTATATTAGTGTTGATAGCTTACAGCTGATACCCTGTTTTCTACATTGCTATTGCACTATTAGTTTGGCAATTAAAGGATGGTCTGCTGTTCTGTCGCTGCGTGGTGTTTTCAACTGGCAAGCTGCCTCCACTTTGCCTTGATCTGATAATTATTGCTTTTTTTAAATAAAGAAATCTTCTCCCGCCTTTTCAAGTTCACTAAACTTGTATGGAAAGTAAATTACTTGGGACAAATCTCAACATGTATGCCACATGCCATTCATAGAAATTGGAGACCCACATGAGGCTCATTTTGGGACAAGCCATGAAGCAAGTACAAGGATAGCATTTTAGGATGGCACACAAACAAGGCCAGTGAGATTTTCCTGAAGGCTGACTCTGTGACGAAGCATTGTTTTTTTTAGATTAAAAAAACAACTGCACAAAACCGTCACTAGCTGGGTTTAAACCACACAGAGGCATTCAACAGGGTTAGGGCCTCCAAGCGGAATTTTTGGCTAATTTGAAAAACACTTCTGAGCTAGTTAGCAGAGTTTGGAACTGTGAAATGATGATTTCCTGAACATATCCTATCCTCAATTTTGTATATCCCTGGTTTGGGAGTGACATGCTTTCTGAGCAGGGTTGGGGTCTCCATTCTACTGTTGCCCAGAGTTTTGACAATCATACTGTTAAGAAATAATCAGTAATCACACAAATATTCTATGGATGCAAACTTGAATGACTATCAAGAACGTTGTCATTGTGGGAACTGGGGATTGTTTGATCCATATTAATCTTTGGGACCTATTTCCCTCTGTTTTGGGATGCTATATTTGATTGATTTATTATGCACCGAATTATCCTTTCTTTTTTCCCCCTCTCATTACCTCACTATTTTGCAGGACTGCATCAACCGAATTGTTACTTTGGAAAGCATAGGTATGTGACTTTTGTATTCTTTTGTAAATTTGGCCGTCCTTCAATTGGTAACCTTGAATCAGCCTCAATAGCTAATCCTAACCAGATGATTCTAGCAACATATCCTGGTACCTGTGAGAAATTTGTCCGCTGCTGAAGCCCTCAACAGTTTTTTGTTCTGATAGGCATTTTTGTTTTACATGTAACAGATAGGTTATCTGGTGTGATGGATGATCGTGGGAAGTTCATCTACATCTCCACTGAAGAGATGAAGGCAGTTGCAGAGTACATCAGGAAACAAGGGAGAGTGAGCATATCACATCTGGCCAACAACTCAAACCAGTTTATCGATTTGGAGCCGAAGGCCCAGTACGAGGAGGAGAGCCAGCAAGATGACAGTGCAGCAGCAGGCACAGAACCATGAGAATTCCTTGGCCTGGCAGCATGTAGCATACTCTTGTGTTTCTGCGCTCAGGGATGTTCTGTAGTGACTTCTTAAGTTGCGCTAACATGGTTCGAGTTGGACACTGGCCATATATGTAGTGGTATAATATACTTGTGCTGACATGCTAAATACCATCATACCATGTAGAACAGAGAACTTGAGGGTTTGAATTTGAGAGCGGACTACTGAAGAGAGATTTATTGCAATCCATCTGGATCTGATGTTTTCAAGCGCTAGTATGAAGAAAAAAAATCGAACTTTGATGCTCTGCTCCTTGCATTCATGTGTTTTGAGACAAGAGACAAACAATTCATTTCATTAGGTAATCATATGTCTTTTAACATTTCCATGACCATGCACCGAAACTGAAGATGGTGCTGTACATATGGAAGTGGGCAGATAAGAAGATGATGGCGCACGGATCCATCCATGGAATTTGACGCGCCGCAGAGGATGTATGGATGTCGTAGCGATAGCACATTTAACTTTACCTAGCTGCAGACTGCAGTGCATGCATGATTAGTTGTAGGAAGCCGGCCATGGCCTAGCTGCCATCGCTCGGCAGCCAGGCCTGCATCTGGGAGCCAGGCGCCCACGAGCCAGGTTCCTTGCATGCAGGTTCAGTTGTTATGACATCAAAACAGATTTACTATAAAAACATATTTAATGATGAATCTATTGGTATATAAAATATTGCTATAATTTTGTATAAATTTAGTTAAACTTTAGATGGTTTGGCTTAGAAAAAAATTAAAATTGTGAGAAGTAGGTATTAGTACATTATATATGGCACACGTTACTATTCTCTATGAAACCTTTTTGTACGTACGTTACGTCACTTAGTTACATGATCGTTAGTCATAACTTCATTTGGATTTGGACATTATTTACATATATTACCTGAGTTTTGCAGTCGTCTACCCATGCTTTATTACCGCGGTATCATTGATATGCACCATGGTTGCTTGGGCTTGTTTGACTTATAAGCCGTACTTTTTCAGTCAACGAATAATATTTTTCTCTCACACTAAATCAGCCAACAGTACTTTTAGCCATGGCTTATCAGCCAAACAAACCCAAGCGAACAGGACGATGACGATCGATCTGGTGGTCCGGTAGTTTGGGATGATATCTGGTCCACGACTCGATGTATGCACGTGTGAGCCGGAAAGCAAAATTCCCTCATGCATATACTTCATACATGATACATGTATCTATAGATACGGATCTGTCCCTGTCCGTCATGGTATCATCAGCTCCATCTGCACATGCAGCTGGCCCATGCATCTATAGATGGCCAACGGGCCGGCCCGGCCCGGTATGACATGGGCCCGTGCCAGGCGTGGCCCGATAGGGGTCGGGCCGGCACGGCGCGCCGTGCCTCACAAGGCCACAGGCCTAGCCTCCGGCCCAGGCACGAGCACTATAGGCCGATTTTCGTGTTGGGCCGGCCCGAGAAGCACGGCCAATTTCACAGGCCATGCCAGCCCGAGGCCCATTGGCTGCCGACAGAGAGAGAGAGGGGAAGGGCGAAGGGGAGCCCGAGAGGTGTAGGGGGTCGACGTCGCTCGCCGCCGAGGAGATCAACGCCGGATCCGGAGGAGGCCGGCACGCTCGCCACCGAGGAGCTTGACGCGGATCCGCAGGAGCAGGAGGCGTGGAGCGGTGGAGGAGGCTGACGCCCTCGAAGCTGGATCCGGAGGAGCCGCTCGAGGCCGCCACCACGCTGGACGATGCGCCGCGTTCAGTGACAGAAGTTGGTGATGGTGGGGGGGCATGGAGGAGGCGGCCGCCGGCCAGTGGTGCGGGGGGCGTAGAGGAGGCGGCCGCCGGCCAGTGGTGCGGGGGCATGGAGGACGCGGCCGGAGGAGAGGAGAGGTCGCGCGAGGAGCCAATGTCGCCGAGGAGAGGGAGGAGGCGTCCCGCGTCTGTGCTCGCGTTGCCCGACACGAGGGAAGGGAGGGGGCGTCGGTGGCGCCGGCGCAGAGGTGAGGAGGAGGAGGAGCGAGTGCGGCAGCGGCACTGTGGCGTGGGGAGGGGGCTGCGCGGGGGAGGGGAAGGGATAGGGTTCGGCAGTTCGGGGGGTGGGGGGCTGGGGTAGGGCCGGGCTGGGCCGGCTAGAGCTCTTAGTAGGTCGACCGCCGTGGCGCCACCGCCATGTGCCACCGGGCCATGCCGTCGCCAGCCACGTGCTGGGTAAGGCTGTGCACGGCCTGCTCCTCCGGGCCGTGCTTGGGCCTTGGGCCGGGTCAAAAAACGGGCCTCGTGCCGGGCCGACGGACTCGGGCTGCATGGCCATATATACATGCATCATGCACGTATAGATTCAGAGCAGAGATTGTTAGATCGCATGACCAGATGGTGGAGCTGTTGTACTATACGGCCTCCTTCACCGTGACCAGCACCACCTCATGAGTGTCCTGGTATAAATGAAGAATTGATACATCATATCAAAACTGGGTCAAATGTCCGTTGTATATATGGTCATGAACCGCCATGGTTGTGGAGATGTTTGCAGCGGCCCTTCTATTTGCTATTGCATGCTGGTGAGCTACGCAATGAGCTAGATCGGTTTCTTAGGCTTGTCTCTTCTAATCGTTAGTCATGCCCTTTGTTTTAGCTGATCTTGGAAGAAGCAACGCGATAGGCTCTGGCTGGGTACCCACACGGTTGTTGTACACGACCTCAGATCCTCAAATCAGGGCCGCTCCAAACGTCCATTCACTGCCGGATTTTGAACCAGCACAACCAAACAAACAGTGATGGATACACATCAATGCTGGTTCTTATAAACCCATAGTGATCACAATCTTCACTGCCGGTTTTACACCAAAAATAAATCTTCACTGCCGGTTTGTTGCACGAGCCGGCAGTGTTTTGTGTAGCCAACAATGTCGGTTCGTGTGATCAATCGACACTGATGATGGAAAAAAAACACTACCGATTCATCACAGTCCGGCAGTGTTGTTCCTGTAAGTACTTATTAGACATCATAAATTGTTTGGCTTTTTGAAAACAAACAAACAAGTATTGTATTTTTTCAGAGCAAGTAATTCATTTATTCTCTCGTATCCCCAATATTTGATGGGTGTATATAGGCCGGCCGGCATGCATGCAGTGCAAGAGCGAGCTGCCAATACAATTAATCCAAAGCTGACATCCAGTCCCAGAGACCGAGTACGTATATGTGTTTGTGGTCCTTGATTCAATTCTCTGTATGGGCAGCGCAGGCCGGCACTAGGACGACGACGACGACGCAGATCGATCGAGCAGCGCCGCAGTGTTCACGTGCATCTATATATATCTTTCCTGCTCGCCAGCGTCCATCGGTCGTAGTTTAGTTCAGCATAAGCATCAGCAAAGTGCCTTATTACTCCGATCGATCCATGCGCGCTTTCATTCGGTACGTGTTTATTACGAGCGAGACCGTCATCATCTAATCTAATAATTAAAAGTCTTTGGGTTTAATTATTTGCAAGAACCATTATTAGCTTGCATTACTATTGCTTCTGAATGAAACAGCCGAGATGCATGCGTGGAGTATAGGTGTGGGTAACGTAGTAGGTGAAGCATGACTACTAGCTATAGATACATGGATGATCTCTCTCTCATCGCATCCGCCATGCATTGCATGCATCCATATTTCCCATTCCGATTCACTAGAAACATGGGCGTGGCTTTGCCACGCCGACACCAGATTTGTGCCATTGTAGAATTTGGTGTGAGACTGTGAGCCATAGTGACTTAGAGTTCTCTCGAGACGATGTATCCACTTAAATCTACGCCATGGTGAATGGATATAGTCTCTGATGATGTTTCCACCTAAATCTTTGACCTAGGTTAAAAAAACTGAGGTAAGAATGCTAGGAGTTGCATTGAGATATTGATCTGAACCCTTTGCTCCCACAAAGAAGTCAGTTTCTTCTGTTGGACCAATGCTACAGCTGACTTCTCTCTAGCTTCTTCACAGGTGTTGCCTGAGCTGCATTTGTCAGCCTCCTTCTAATATTGTGAAGCTAATTTCTAGGCCTCGAGCAACTTAACATGAGTCTCTTGCTGGGCTTGTGTTGCCTCCTCTTCTCTATGTTTTAGTTCTTCTACAAGCAGCTCTGAAACTTTTTTCTGCCTGTTCACCAGATGCGCGACTCTTGATCCATTTGAAGTGTTTAGCACAATCTGAAAACATGGAAAGGCCTGAGTTTCATTTAAAGCACAATAATCAGAAATTGATTAACTCCACTTTGTCATGTCTGTCTCAATCAAAGACATAATCAGGCCCCTACGTTTATTGCGAAGATAATTCTAATATATCAAGGTATAATGATAAAAATCTACTTTGAGATATGGTATTATTGTGATGTCTCTCTCTCTCTCTCTCTCTCTCTCTCTCTCTCGCGCGCACACACACACATATATATATATATACACACACACGGTAAGACTATTCTGCAGCTGGTCATAAAATAACTTATTCTATAGTCACCTTGATTTACAATAATGTTTGTACTAATTTACGATAATAACAATACACATTTATGATACATGGATTACTATAATTCAAGATGATACTTACCATAATGTTATACTAAATCACTTATGAGGGAGTTACCATAATCTCGTAAATTAGTATAGTAATTATCGTAACTCAAAGTAGCCACATAATAACTTATTCTGTGACCAGCTACAGAATAGTACGTGTGTGTATATATATATATATATGTGTGTGTGTGGATCATAAAGCCGGTAAAATCACTCAATCATTTTATTTTATGCGTGGTATGGGTAAGCTACCGTAAAAATTTCATAGCAATTTGAATAAAGAAACTAACTCTATTAATTATTTATAGAAAACTTGAGAGAAATCTAGATCCACATTAATAGCAAAAAATTACACTAAAACATGTGATGTTATGTGTTTACAGTGCAGTGCTAGTTGTGTAGAGTTCAACAAACTTGGTTTGATATTTTTTTATTTTTATTTGTTTTATTATGTTCTTTACAAAATTTTAACCGTTTTAGATAAATAATAAATTCGCAGAAAAATAGAAAAACGTCGTCGGGCCGAATTCGGCCTAGTAAGGCCCAGGTCCGGTGATATACAAGCTCGAGCGGGAGGCAGGCCGACCCATTTAAAAGGCCTGGACTGCGGGTTGATTTCGGTAAAGTTCGATGGCTTTTTAAAAAAAAACCCTGAGAAGAGACCTAGACTACGAGTTGATTCGATTAAATTTGAGGCTTTTTTTGCAAAAAGACCGAGGCTCGCATGATCCGGGCCGTCCGCCCAGCCGAACCGATGGCCGGGAAAAGCGGACGACGTGACCACGCTGGCTGGCCCCTTTTGGTAGCAGGATTGCTAGCAAAGAGATGTGAACTGGCGACCGACGATGCGACGGACGCATTAGTTTGCTTGTCGTCCGACAAAGCGAGTTAGTAAAGCCAAAAAGCCTATCCACTCTTGTCGAATCAATCATATGCATGCATGATTAATTTCCACCAAAAAATTATATATTTACAAGCAATTATGCCCTTGTTTGTCACGGCTTCTCCAACTGCTTCAAGAGATCGCATCCGCCATGCATTGCATGCATCCATATTTCCCATTCCGATTCATGTGAACTGGCGACCGACGGTGCGACGGACGCATTAGTTTGCTTGTCGTCCGACAAAGCGAGTTAGCAAAGTCAAAAAGCCTATCCACTCTTGTCGAATCAATCATATGCATGCATGGTTAATTTCCACCAAAAATTTATATATTCACAAGCAATTATGCCCTTGTTTGTCATGGCTTTTCCAACTGCTTCAAGAACCGTTTTCTCTGTCAAATAGGGTAAAATAAAATGGCTTCATCCAGAAAGCCTTTTAAATCGTGCTCACACAAAGGTTTAAGATGGGGTGGAGCAAAAAATAGTATTTTCACCCGGTTTCACCTCATCCTGGCGTAGGCCCTACATGAGGTTGTGTGAGTGCATGTTTTAAGAAGCTCTACTTATGAACATCGACAATAATGACAAACATAGATCTTGATATCGATACTGGCAATCCAAGCGTGACACCAAACAAATCAGATAAGCAAACAACAAGGAAGGGCGTGCAGAACTACAAATGCAAAACAGATACTATTTCCACCGCTTTAGATTATATAAGTCATTTTGGTTTTCTTAGATTTTTAAAAAAGGAATGGCAAGAGATTTGCCACCAGTTTAAAAAACAAGAACGAAGAATAAGAGGGTTTGCCAAGTCCCTATAATAGACCTTAAAAACACAACTTAGTACAGCTCTGAAAAACCATATGGCTTTCCTAGATGCATAGACAACTTTACTATGTATCTAGATATAGCGTAAATCTAGATAAATAACCAAGAACTATGTACTTAGAAATGTCAAATGAAACGACTTAGAACCCAGGGAGTAGCTAGCATACAGTAGACGGCCGCTAGCAATATATGTTGAAGTCCACAAACTTACAGTTTAAGAGGAAACAAATAAGCATGCATCTCTTCTGCAGTTGCCGCATATGCTGCTACACTGTCTATCGGTCAGATAGAGATGGCCCAACGTATGTCTCAATCCTTCCTGCCATTGATGTCTCCACCACTTCTTCTACGTTGCGCTGGTGGCCGGTCTCTGCCCCCTGCAGCTGCAGGAGTGCTCCAAACTTCCTGTATGCATGCATGCTCTCCCATCATCATGTTCAGACCAATCATGAGTAGCTACAATGCACGCATATTATCTTGATCTGTTGTACCCAGAACCCCTTTTATTTAAAATTGTTATTAATAAAAGTCCAGTAGGGTTGAAATCCTCCTATTTTCCTAAAAAACAATGCACGCATATATATGCAGTTTAATTTCCATGAAATAAAGGACCCACAACACTAGCCAAATTAAAGCGCCATATATTCTTTGTTGTGTGCCTTGCGTTACTACTAGTAGATACAATTAATTTGTAACATGCTACTCCTACTAGTGAATGATTTGCAGTATTATAATACCGTGCGTTCTTTGTTTGGATAAACTCATTTTTTTTTCTCGAACACGTAAAAGGTTTGCGCGTCTTTGTATTAAGATAGAAAATATTAAATACAACGCGTCTTAGCGGTGCACTAGGGGTCAATAAAATGTACATGGATGCTCGGACCCTCCCTAATGTAGGGCAAGCTAATAAACTCATTCTTGCCTTCCGGTTCATGCATGTGGCTCATTAGAAGGGAATGAGATGAGAACTAATTTCCCCCTCTATTATTTCCTCCTAATCCACTTCTCTTAGTATGGTGGGTTTCTCCTAATGTTTTACCATTCAATTTTTAGTATAAACTTTTCCTACTAAATATCTCCTAGTGAGAATTTCCATGTGCATGACTAGTGATAGTGTTTTATTACTACTTAAAAACACTAGGAGAATTCCAAGTTACCAGAAATGCTAAACAGATACAACATGCAAGAACGACCTTGAATTAATTGAGGGTGGCGAGAGGCAGAGCAAGATATTATTGAGGTGCACACGCACATACTGTATGTACTATATATTTTCTTCAAGTCGAGTTATGTATATAGTATGATGAAATCTGAAATGCTTAATTAGTAACTGACATCCTCCTTCGTCTTCTTCATTTTGCCACGGTTAGTTGTGTCGTATCTAGCTATATATTGCAGCAGCTAGAACCAACAAATAGCAGAATATATAAGAAAAGAATTAAGAACATCTGAACATATATATACAACCAATAAGACATTTCGAGCTCTAACATACTACGTACGTGTACGTATATATATTGGTAGGTTAGGTTTTACGTACCTGCAGGTCTCCGTTTATATTTAGCTGCACAAGTGGAGAGGAAGCGGTGTCCTGCAGTGGATCTTCCTCCTCTAGAATTCCGGTGGTTCCGACAAGATGAAGTACCTCGTCCTTGGTCTTCTTCTTCACCCCCTTCACCGCCTCCTTATTATCCTTGGCTTTGTTGGGCTTGGAGACCGTGGAGGTGGAGGCACTTCCTCTTCCACAGAGGACGCCGCCAACATCCCGCAGCTGCTGCTTCTCTCTGTTGGACGCCGACGCGTCCTCCTCCTCGTCAGAGGCTAGCTGCAGGAAGTAGGCCGTCCAGCCGCTGTCGGCGTCCTCGAAATCAGACGTCGCCGCCGCCGCAACAGATGCAGGAGCAAGAGCAGGAGATTGTTGTTGTTCTTGGTGGTGGTGGCTGTAGTAGCTGGTGCCGTAGAACGCAGTAGTCCGAGATGAGCTGATAGATTCCTCCATTGCAATTTTATCCATCTATCTATCTAGTATATATGCGGCATGCGTGGATATGCATCGTTTTGTGGTTTTGCCTTGGCTTGTGTTTAGCTATATAGATCGATGATATATCAGAATGGTGAGAGCTAATAGCGTATAGGTTCTTCTTGTAACAAAGAGGAGGTTGGCAACAGTTCCCTTATACTACGTAGTTTGGGCGTGATCTATCTGTGCATATCTATCAATCATTGGACGGAGATGGCTGTTGTTGGTGATGACCTGTTTGTACGTCTGAGTGTGTGACTGCGGAGACAGAGAGAGAAATGGTGGAGGCAGCTAGCTAGCTTAGCTGCATATGCATCCTCCACTGGAGAGTGAAGAATCACGGATGGAGGATGATGATGATGATGTTTGCATTGCATTGCAGCCGAGTAGGAGTATAGATTAATTGCACATGCGCACGCACGCTGGCCGTACAGACACACGCACGCATGCACACGTGTTCCGGTCCAGCAGGTAAAGTAGTAGTAATAGCTAGCCTCCGATACTTGCATTTCGGCCGCGAAACCTGTAGAATGTAAGAGCATCTCCAACGGGCTAGTTAAATCGTTTTGTAAATATAAATATAGCTATTATCAGAAAAAAAGTTCTTCAACAGACTCTCTGCCTGGCTCTCCATATTGGATAGCTAGTTATCCCTGAACTTCCGCTATCCAAACATGGATAGGCTGCACCGCGCGCCATTCGGCATCCGCGCGGGCCAGCAAAGCCTTCCCGCGCGCGAGGCGCCTCCTTCCCGCGGGCTACCACTTCTTCCCGCGCGAACTCGACCACGCCGCACGCGTCTTCAGTTTCCTCTGCCACAGCCCTTGCGCCCGTTCCCCAACCAAGCACGCACCTTGAGCTTCCTCCGCCATGTCCCTGCCGCCGCGACCACGTGGTCCGGCACCTGTGCGCGGGTACGAGAACCTGGCCGCCCGGGCATCTTCTCCGGTGGCCCAGTTCGCCGGCGGTTCCATGGCTCAAGGAAGCAGGACTCTGTTGGTTGCGAGGGCCATGTGGATCTAGGATGGTTGGAGAACAGAGAGGTTGGATTGATGCGGCGTCGAGTGATACCTCCCACTGACTTCAATGGCCAGCCATCGCAGGCCCCCTCCCCAAGCGTGAGCCAGCAGCCACAGTTCTCCTTCCTAGATGCAGCACAGGGCGTCGTCGAGGAATTATCTAGTGAGGCCTTGGTCATTTTATTTCATTTGTCAGTAATGTTCCTAGCAGTGGATGAATTTTGCTCCTATGTTGAATGGAATGTCATGATTGGTTTCTATATTTTGCTCATCTATTGTTTGTGCAAACTGTGATTATTGTAGCAAACTGAGATTATTGATCGTGCAACTGCAGTGTACTTATATGAAGCAAACCGAGAGATTTTTTTAAGTAAAATTCTTGCTGCTTTGCAGCTATTCCATCCTCCTGATAGCAATGGGCAATGACAGATTTTTTTAAGTAAGATTCTTCCTGCTTTGCGGCTAGTCCATCCTCCTGATAGCAATGGCAATGGCCGATTTTTTTTTTAATAATATTCCTGTTGCTTTGCAACTATTCCATCCTCCTGATTAATCTTTGGAAATAAATCTTCTATGGTTCTATGTATTGACCTATAGCATGGAAAGTTCAAGTCAGTTCAGTAACTTACTGAGCAGCGGTGCGAGTCTATATCTGACATTTGTGTTATCTGATTCATGTTATCTGATTCACCGTGCCTTGGCAAAATATTTCTTCTTGTTTCCTTGTGGCTATGGTCTTCACAAACGTGGCCCAAGATGGATATATGCCATCTGCGAGGTAATAACTCATTGTATAATCATTCCCATTGATGCTATAATGAAACAGGGCAATTTTTCCAAGTCCAATACATGCAATATATGGAACCAAGCATTCTCGAGAAACCTCTGCTCTCACCAATTGCGAGTAATCTAGCCGTATCCTATTCATTAGGCAATCTCATGTACTCAGGTCCAAATACTTGAACAACAACTATGACGAACCTTCTCAAACTTTCTAGAGCGGTACTCTCGCCAATACGAACATAGTCATCCGTAGCATCAGCCGCTACACCATAAGCTATCATCCGAAATGCTGCCACCACCTTTTGCAAACAAGATAGTCCTAGGGTACCGGCTGCATTCCTGTTTTGCATAAAGTAGTCATCTTGCTCCTCAACGGCATTCATTATACAAACAAACACATGATACCTCATTCGAAATCTATGGCACAAGACTAATTAATTAGCCACACCTGCACGTATGTACAAAAGAAATTTCATACTATGAGGGGAAAGTACAAACCTCCGCCTAAAATAGTTTGCCCCATACGTAGGATCATCTGAGAAATAGTCTTGAAAAAGTCTAGAGTGCCCGGACTGCCTATCACGATTCAATTACGCGATGTCTGTCAATAGAACCTCGGCGATATGGTTGCTTGTCATTGGCCTCTGCTACCATGTGTGCAGCAGCAACATATAAATCATCCTCATCGTCCGAAAATGATGACTCAAGCACTTCATTGAACACTGTATCATAAAATTCATCTCCAGAATCCATCGTTGACACACCTTGAGCTGTAGGGTAGAAGGACAGATTCTCTAATCAACCGAGATAATTATCTGTGTCAATTTACAAAATTATGGCCAAATTAAGCAAACCTCCTACACGGCTAGGGCAGCCACCAGCAGGCTGCCGTGATGCCCTTCAAGACGTGCGGCCGGCAATGGCCGGCCCCTGTGTGCCCTGATGGTTGGGCGACTCTGCCCCTTGTGGCCCGGTGGACGTGAGCGTTGATGATGCCTGGGCAGCCGACAACCAGCGGACAGGATCGGGATGGAGTTCCAGGCGGCTGGCCCCTGCTGCGGAACTTGAGTTCAAGGCGGCGCCTGCGATGATCCGAAAAGAGAGCAGACATGATCGGGATGGATAGGAAGAGAAAAAATCCAGTGATGTGGCAAGTTTAAATATAGAGAATCTCAATTTGGATGGTCTGTTGGAGCAGTCTATTTTTTGAATGAGGGATTCATTTTACAAAATACCAAAATCACTAAATTTAGATATTCCTTTTGGTTAATCCGTTGGAGATGCTCTAACCGCACTATGCATGCATGTGCTGAGTACTGACGACTGTAGCTTGCAGCTAGCGGCGCCGTTCACACCCTATAGCAATTTGAAAACTTTGCACACACACAGCACCAAATCAAGCAACATGGAAACACCACTGCAATTAAAAGCCCACTAAATTAATTTAGAAAAGTTTGAAAATTCACATTTTTATGTGACTAAATTCGCGAGAGCATAAATTGATCTCACAAAAAATTTATACAAATATTATACCATTTATTTTAGTTTAGTATTCTCTATTTGCAACCTAAAATATAAATTTGGGGTGTGACAACATCGACCTTGCGAGTTGCGACTTCTCATCCAACCTTTTCAAGATCTAAAAAAAAAAACGGGACATTACAATCGGCTCTCCACAACAATAATTGGATGTGTGACGTCAATCTTCATAATAGAGACTTCATAGCCCAACACTTAGGCTTTGTTTGATACATGTGTATCCACTTCAATTCACATGCGTTTGAATGAATTGGAATGGAACTTAGTTTAATTACACTTCAACGCATATGGATTGAGATGGATATATACGCATCCAAACAAGGCCTTAGTAAAATTCATTGGGATATCTGGCGTGAGGTCAACCGCGTGGAATTATAACAAAATACACCGGATTCCATAGCTTCGAAACTAACAAAAAACGGGTAGTACACCACAGGCTCAGCAAATAGAGCACGGTTTTTAGGGGCGATGGAAACCAATTTCGAGACACTGATTTGGAAAGTCTGGCGCCATCTAAATGCAAGTTTTTAGCTGGTTTGCAATATAAAATGTAATTTGGACTTCAGACATGCTACAAAGTCGAGAATGGGCAAATGTATGCAACTGTATACACTTTGTCGTTAGGCACATGAGACGAGCATCATCCATCTTTTCAAAGAGTGTAGATTCACCAGGCGAGATTATAGGGGGAGCTTGCGACTTGGATCGAAAACGAGGATATGCATCCAGATTACTGGGGCAAAGTGACTTTGTCCACCAATGGTGGACATGTTTGGATCAGACACCCAGTGTGGCCAAGAGAGATTTACACTCACTAATCATGCTTATTTGCTAGGAAGTTTGGAAGGAAAGAAATACGATGAGCGTACTACTACAGATTTGGACATCACTGCCGGCCTTGTCACTGCCGGATTTGTGAGAACCGGCAGTGATGTACCTTCACCGTCGGTTCTGAGCTTGAAAATGAGAAAAGAATAGGGCTGAGCTAAAACCGGAAGTGAAGGACCACGTCACTGCCGGTTTGTGGCTTGCACCGGCAGTGAGTTAGCGGCCACTTATCATTGCCGGTCTAACCAAGAGCCGACAGTGATTTGGTGCTTTCACTGTCAGTTCGAGCCAAGAACAGACGGTGATAAAATAGCAGTACAAAAAGCTGGTGCCGTCCTCTCCTTCCTCCTCTCTTCCATCCCGAGCACAGAGGCGTGCGTTTGGGCCGCTCCCTCCATTGTTGCGGCTACTCTTCACCGTGAAGCTAGCTCTTAGATTTGGAAGAATGGCTCGATCTTTTTGCTTTAAGGTTAGTAACAAGCATCCACTCCATTAATTTTATAGCTTAATTAACGTTGTTTTGATGGCTACATTGCTTGATTGTCATTCTAGTTCTTTCTTCGTTCTAGAAAACACTTTTCTAATTGGACTTTGTGCAAGGCTTCCAAGCAAATTGTGGTGAATCCATCATCCAAAAGGTTGGTGTCTTTAAACACATTTAAAATCCTAGCTAATTACATGGTGGTCAAGATCATTGTTAGTATGTGATGCTATAATTAGTTCTTGATAAGAGTAGAGTAGATTCTTTTACAATTTTGGTGAGCAAATTAATCCATGTGTCACCCACCAACACATTGTTTGGAGCTGCATTGTTATTCATGGTCATGTCTCTAATTTTAGTCTTTTTTAAAAAAAAATTAGTGTCTCCATTTTTATGTGACATCGAGTAGAATAATTGTTCTTTATTATTGTGCAATAATTGTTTTTTTATGGGGCTACGATTTTCAATTTATATGGCCGGGGCTACTAATTTTAATTTTCCAATAATTAGTGTACAATAATGTTTTCTAAAAATATGGTGCTAAATTAAATAAGTGTAGAATAAATGGTACTTTCAAGCTACAATTGTTGTTCATGAAGCTCGACTTTTTATTAATTTCTCTATAATTACTGTCTCAAATTTTTTTGTGCAGAGATGGATCGAGAGTGGATGCATCTGTCCTAAACGGACAAGCGGTACATGCATGATGTCAGCTAGTTTATCACCAATGCCAAAGCCCAAGCTAGAAATGGGAACCCTGTCTTCTGCCCATGCAAAGATTGCATGAATCAAAGAAAATGGGCTCAAATTGAGTTTGTACGAATGCACTTGATTACCAAGGGGTTTATGCCAAACTATACGATATGGACTATGTATGGCGAGATTGGTGTGAATGTTCCACAGGAAAATGATGATGATGTGGCCATGCCTGACGTAGCCATCCACGATGTTGACGAGGAACCCGGTGTCAACACGGAACCTATGGCCACAGTTAATGATATGTTTAGGAACACGCTAGCTGATGATACCGAGGATAACAATGGCATTTCTCAGTTGCTACGTAATGTAGAGACCGGATGTCTTAATGAAAGACAGCTGAGAAAGCTAGAGAAAATAAGACATGATGACAAAACACCATTGTATAAGAAGTGTCCAATGAGTAAATTGGAAGTCGACATCATGCTATTAGAGTTCAAATCGACAAACGGATTGAGCGATAAAGGCTTTGATCAGTTGTTAGGTATAATAAGGAAAATGCTCCCAGAAAAAATGAGTTGCCAGAAAAGACATACCTGGCCAAGCAAATGGTCTACCCTATCGGCCTCAAGGTTGAAAAAAATCCATGCGTGTTCCAATAATTACAGATTGTACCGTGGAGACGAATACAAAGAATTAGATGCGTGCCTTAAGTGTGAAGCTCCACGATATAAGGAAGGGCCGTCAGATGAGGGTATCAAGACCAGAGGAGGTCCCATGAAGGTCGTTTGGTATTTCCCTATAGCTCCCCAGGTGCATAGGCTGTTTGCATGTGCAAAGTCAGCCAAGTTGTTGCGCTGGCATGGCGAAGAGCATAAGAAAGATAGAATGATGAGGCACCCCGCCGATGGGAAGGACTGGAGGACAGTCAATACCATGTTCTATAAGAACGGAGGAGAGATAAGGC